AGGATCCAGACTCAGCCCTCCACCCTCAGACCCAGGATCCAGGCTCAACCCTCCAGCCTCAGACACAGGATCCAGGCTCAGGCTTCCACCCTAAGACCCAGCATCCACACTCAGCCCTCCACCCTCAGAGTTCAGGCCCAAATTCTCCTCCTTCAGACCCAGGAGTCCAGGCCCAGCTCTTCCTCCCTCAGACCCAGGTGTAGTCCCCTCCTCCCTCAGACCCAGGTGTAGTCCCCTCCTCCCTCAGACCCAGAAGTCCAGGCCCAGCCCCTCCTCCCTCAGACCCTGACCTTTCTTCCCCATCACTGGCACAGGTGGCCCGGCTGCTGGAGGTGCCAGTCATGCTGACGGAGCAGTACCCGCAAGGCCTGGGCCCCACAGTGCCCGAGCTGGGGGCTGAGGGCCTGCAGCCACTGAGCAAGACCTGCTTCAGCATGGTGCCCGCCCTGCGGCAGGAGCTAGACAGCCGGCCCCAGCTGCAGTCTGTGCTGCTCTGTGGCATTGAGGCACAGGCCTGCATCTTGGTGAGACGCTGACTGACCCCAGCGGTCCCTCATTTTCACCTGGGACCCCCATCCTAAATAGAACCTTCTTCCCTGACCAGAAACCTCGACTTCCCTGCAGGACCCCCCTGACGTGGCCCTCTGTCCTCACCTGTGGGCCCACTCCATCTTGGATCCCCTCCTGACCAGCTCTGATCCGAGCCTCCCTCCTCCCCAGTTTGGGCCCCTAATTCTGACTCAGCATCCCCACTTCCTTACCCAGGACCCCTGTTCTTATCCGGGGTTGGCCCTGGCCTCTTTCTGCCTACAGAACACAACCCTGGACCTCCTGGACCGGGGGCTGCAGGTGCATGTGGTGGTGGATGCCTGCTCCTCACGCAGGTGAGAGGGTTCCTCCCTGGGCGGGTGCACATGAGGGCCATCAGGGGCTCCCAGGAAGGGCCACAGGTGGCATTTCCGCCAGGGTGCCAGTGTGTCTGGGTGTGTGGTGTGCAGCATCCACACCGACCACCTCTCCCTCTCTTCCACTCGCAGCCAGGTGGACCGGCTGGTGGCGCTGGCCCGCATGCGGCAAAGTGGCGCCTTCCTCTCCACCAGCGAAGGCCTCATTCTGCAGCTTGTGGGTGATGCTGCCAACCCCCAGTTCAAGGAGGTAATGCCCCTCCCAGCTGCCCTCACCTCCCCTGCATCTGACAAAGGTCTGTCTTTGGGCACTCAGAATACATCCGGCACCAGCAGGGGGTGCCAGGTTCTTGGAGGGGAGGCTGCTGGTCACCGTCACTGCCATAAATCCATGAAAGGAGCCGGCAGATGGACCACAAGAACCACAGAGAAAGATAAAACAGGGGAGGCGATCCCGAGGGTCGGGGCACAGTGGAGGGGTTGTATTGGATGGTCTGGGGGGTGTCCTGGAGCAAGTGACTTTAGCGTGAACTGAAGGAGGGAGGGACTGGGCAGACACTAGGGAAGAACAGGTCAGCAGAGACCTGGTAGGTCGAAGCCCCTTGGCCCGCCCACACCCATCCCCAACTCCCCATCTCCTCTGCCTCTGCCCCATCAGGTCCGGGTGGCCCTCCTCCGGTTTCTCAGACTCCACACCCACCGCCAGAGTGGCCGCCCTGCTACCGGGCTCAGCCAGGCACTGGGGCCCCTGCGTGAAGCCCTTAGCCCTCAGGATGCTGGAGCAGCCCCACACTTGACATTCCCAGGCCCTCCCATGTCTGCTCCTTGCCTTCCTTCTACTTCAGCTCTGTGGGAATTCACTGAGCACCCACTCCGTGCCAGCCACTGTGGCGAGCCCTGGAGTCCGCATCAGTCCCTGTTCAGGGACACGTTGTGGCCTGCAGCTGGGTTGGGGGTTGCTGAGGGATGAGCAAGAGTGGCAGGGGTGGCCCTGAATTCCTGCCTGCCGGGGAAGGGGGCATCAGACATTCACAGTGTTCCCAGGGGAGGTGGGACTGCGCTTTCCTCCAAGGAGCCGAAGCAGGCCGGGCGAACACTGGGAGGGAGGAGCGGGGCAGTTGGGAGCCAGCGCCCTGAGGTTTGGGATTTCAGCCATAGGTGGCCATCAGGGTTTTGTGCAGGGGAGCTGGCCATATTTGATCGGCAGTTTATAAAGTTCTTTCTGGCACTGTGTGGCCAGTGGATTAGGGAGTGTGGTGTAGACGGGAGGAGGGAGGCCTGTCAGTAAGGAGGTTAATTTGGGCATCCAGGCAAGTGGTGAGGAGGGCTTGACCAGGGTGGAGGCAGTGGGGATACGGGCTTTTTCGTTGTTTTCTTTATTATTATTATTATTATTTTTGAGACTGACTCTCGCCCCATCACCAGGCTAGAGTGCAGTGGCACAATCTCAGCTCACTGCAACCTCTGCCTCCCAGGCTCAGGCAATTCTCCTGCCTCAGCTTCCCAAGTAGCTGGGATTACAGGCACATGCTACCATGCCCAGCTAATTTTTGTATTTTTTAGTAGAGACGGGGTTTCACCATTTTGGTCAGGCTGGTCTCCAACTACTGACCTTGTGATTCGCCCGCCTCAGCCTTCCAAAGTGCTGGGATTACAGACGTGGGCCATCTTTATTATTATGTTTAATTTCTGGACATAAACTTGCTGGGACTTGCTGTTGGGTGAATGCGGTTGGTTGCTCATGTCTATCTAAGAGGTGGTTGGATAGATGAGTCTGGGGTTCAGGGGCAAAGTCCAGGTTGGATTTGGGATGGGAGTCCAGAAGAGGGATGGGAGAGATGAGGTTACTTAAGAGAAGAAGGTGTAGACCAGAAGCCCCAGCACAGAGCTGTCCACCCTAAGTGGTCCAAGCCAGCAAAGCAGACCAAGATGGCAGGCAGTCAGGAGCTCAACCAGACATGTATAATGAAAGGGAGGCCCCAGGAAGAGTCTTGAGAAGAGGGAGTATTGTCTTGGGCAGCTGCTGCCCAGAAGGTCCGGGAAAAGAAGACGGAGAGGTGTCCCTCAGACTTGTCATCCACGGAGATCAGGACCCTTCACGTGTCCTGACCCATCGCCCCCGCCCCTATAGATCCAGAAGCTCATCAAGGAGCCAGCCCCAGACAGCGGACTGCTGGGCCTCTTCCAAGGCCAGAACCCTCTCCTCCACTGAACTCCATCCCTGCCTTGAGGGAAGACCACCCTCCTGTCTCCCGGACCTCAGTGGAAGCGCTTTCCCCCATCCCTGGATCCCAAGAGTGGTGCGGTCCACCAGGAGTGCCGCCCCCTGGGCGGGGGGCAGGGTGCTGGCTTCCTATTGGACAGCCGCTCCCGGAAATGTAAATGAGACTCCTGGGAGCTGGGCGGGAATTGGCTAAGCCGAGATGGAGGCGGGGCTCGGCCCCGGGCCGCTTCACGGGGCGGGAAGGGGAGGGGAAGGAGTCTCAGGCTGTGGGACTCGGACTCGCAGAATAAACACTTATGTGGCTGTGGACCAAACCATTCTGGGGTTGGGGGGGATCCCGGGGGCGACTGGGGGCTGCAGGAGGGAGAAAGCGGGGTCCCCAGCAGGTGGGGAGGGGGAGGTGCCTCTTCTCGGCTCGAAGTCGGCGCGAGGCAAAGGCGAGGGCTGGCGGCTGACACATCTGCACGGACGCGGCGCATCTGCTCGGAGGAGAACTGCGGCCGGGGTCGCCCCCCGTCGGCGCGCGCCCAGCCAGGCTGCCGGCAGACACGCGCTCTGCCGCCGCCCCCCACGCCGCCGCCCCCGGCTCCCCAAGGGTCCCGCATCCGGAAAGCGAGGTGAGCGAGGCCGCACCCCGGTGCGGGGGGAAACTGAGGCACGGGGACGTGGAGAAGGGGAGGAAGGAAGAGACAAGCATGTGGATGGGTGGATGGATGGACGGATGGAAGGAAGGAAGGGCTGATGACCCAGCCTTGTGGTCCCTGCTCCCCAGACGCAGGAGTTCTGGAACCCACATGGGGGCTCCCAGAATTCTGCAGATCTGGGAGTTGGAACTCTGCAGACCCCCCCCCAGGGAGTGTCCCCCCTCCAGATATGCAACCTTGCCTCTTCCCCAATCTTGGGGACCTGAGAGGCCACCCCTGAGTCCTCAGGGACACTGGCGTCAGAGCTGTCCTCCAGCCCGCCCCGCGTTGGGCAATCGGAGACCCACCGCCGACCCTGGGAGCCCAGACCCCTCCCAGGAGGTCCGGTCCCGGGTTCCTAGCTTCGGAGTGCCCAGCACCCCTCTCCCCAGGGACCTAGGAGGGGCCCCTGGGACCGGGTGGCGGCGCCCCTGGCCCCCGCTTTCCGGATCCAGGTGTCCCCCCTCCTCACCCCCCAGCCCGAAGCCTCGCGTCTCGGAGGCCCCGCGCGCGTCGCCATGGCAACGGGAGTCTATTTTGCGCTGGGAACACACAGCTCCCGCCGCAGCGCCCCCCCCACCCCACCACCCCGGGCCTCAATGGGAGTGGGGGACCCGGGAGGGGGCTCGGGGGTCCGGGTCGGGGGTGAGTGGAGACACAGACAGACAGAGATCCGACGACAGCAAGCCCGGGGCAGAGGCAGAGCCATGGAGCCAGGGAGGAGAGACGAGCGGGATGTGGAGTCAGAGGGGAGACGGAGACCGGGCGGGGGAAGGAGGGAAATGGAGGCGCGCAGAGAACTGAGGCTCAGAGAGGGGGACAGCCCGAGGCAGGGGCGCCGGGACCGAGAGACGCGGAGAGGGACGCCGAGGTGCAGGAGACCCGCTGCGAGAGACGCGGGCAGAGACCCCCGTAGTGACAGAGACGGGCGGGGGAGGCGGGGGTCCTGGAGGAGGCGTGGACGGGGCGCCCCGGGACGCGGAGATGCGAACCCAGACACAGGCGCACTGGCCGGCGGCGCAGGGATCTGGGCGGAGGCGCCGGAACCGGCCGCCGCCTGGCTGCGGGTCTGGAGAGGGTCCTCCTCCCTCGCTCGGTCCCTGCCTTCCCCGCGGCCCGCGAGGCAAGGCGCCCCCGCGCAGCCCCCCAGGGTCTCCTCGCCCCGCCGCCCCCGGCACCCGGAACTGGGATCCCTGCGCCCTCCAGCAGGAACTCGCCCCTTCTCGCTCTGGGCTTTTCCCACCCGCCCGGGCCCGCTTCCTCTCGAACACATCCCTACCCCAAACCGACCTGTCAATCCCAAAGGATCCCCACCGTTCCCACTTGGACCCCGCGCCCGTCCGGCCCAGCCCCCGCCTCTCTCCATACCCACTCCGCCCCGCAGCCCCTGTCCACTCGCTGAGGACCCCACTCCAGCCCAACTCCGAGATCCCAGAGGCGCCTACTCTCTCGGCTCTCTCTCCTCTCAGGGTCTCTGAACCCTGCTTCTCTAGGACTCTGCATCCCCTCTGAGCACTTGTCTCCCCCCCTCCCCCACCCGTGGCTGTCCCTCTCTCTCTCTGGGTCTCTGACCCCTCTCTCTCTGGGTCTCTGTCCCCCTGTCTCTCTGGGTCTCTGACCCCTCTCTCTCTGGGTCTCTGTCCCCCTCTCTCTCTGGGTCTCTATCTCTCTGTCTCTGGGTCTCTGTCCCCCTCTCTCTCTCTGGGTCTCTGTCCCTCTCTCTCTCTGGGTCTCTGTCCCTCTCTCTCTGGGTCTCTGTCCCTCTCTCTCTGTGTCTCCGTCTCCCTGTCTCTCTGGGTCTCTGTCCCTCCTCCTCTCTCTCTGGGTCTCTGTACCCCCTCTCTCTGGTCTCTGTCCCCCTCTCTCTCTCTGGGTCTCTGTTCCCTCTCTCTCTGGGTCTCTGTCCCCCTCTCTCTCTGGGTCTCTGTCCCCTCTCTCTCTGGGTCTCTGTCCCCCCCTCTCTGGGTCTCTGTCCCTCCTCCTCTCTCAAACACACAATCTGCCCTGCCTCTGGCTCTCTGTCCCCCTCTCCCGGGTCCTCTATTTCCCCTTCAGTATCTGTGTCCCTTTCTCTGAGCTTCTGGGCGCTCTGGCCTGCAGCCCCCAGCCGGGAGGGTTGGGAGGGAGCACAGCAGGTGGAGTGTAGCACAGAGCTGGGCAGGGGGCTGGTGGGGGTGGGAGAGCAGCTCTCAGAACCCAGGAGCCCCTCTCAGTCCAGCTCTCTGACCTGTGTCCCCATAGGTGTGTCTGTCAGGTCCTGAGCTGGGGTGCAGCGGGGTCCCGGCCCCTCCCCCTCAGCTGTGGAGGAGGAGAGTGCCTTTGTGTGCGTGAGATCCGAGCTGGGGGCGGGTGTGGGGTGGCGGTGTCACATGGCTGCTTCCAGACTCTCCACCGCTGTGAGGGTGTGTTTGCACATGTGTGTGCACCCCTGAGGCTGCCTGGCCGTGAGCTGCAATGTGTGTGGTCTTGGGCCCTCGTGGAGCCGAGTTGGACAGGTCCCTGGCCCTGTCCCAGAGCTGTCAGCAGTCCAGTGAATGGGGTGGAAATGTGCAGAAGTCCACATGGAGTGGAGCGTATGTGTCCGTGTGCTGGGAGGGCACTGCAGGTGTGCCTCCAGGTCCTCACGTGTCGTGTCTGGGACTGTCCAGGTGCCCGGGCTCTGTGTCAGTGTGTTCTGAAGGGTGTCCCTGCACAGCTTTGTGTGAGGTTAGGGAAGAATTCATCCCGTGTCTGGATGGAGCCACTGTCTGCCGGTGCAAGTCCTCTCCACCCACCTGTAGGTGCTGCCGTGACGGGGAGGGATAGAGAAGCTGTGTGTGTGGTGTAGGGTATGTGTGTGTGTTTATGATGTGTGTGGTGTGTGGTATGTGTGTGGTATGTGTGTGGAGTGTGGTGTGTGTTGTTTGTGGTATGTATGTGTTGTGTGTGTGGTGTGTGTTGTGTGTGATGTGTGATGTGTGTCTGTGGGGTGTGTATGTGTGGTCTGTGTATGTGGTGTGGGGGGGTGTGTTGTGTGTATTGTGGTCTGTGTATGTGGAATGTGTGTGGGGTGTGTGGGGGGTGTCTGTGGTGTATGTATGTGTATGTATGGTCTGCGTATGTGGAGTGTGTGTGTGCGGTGTGTGTGGTGTCTGTGGCATGTATGAGTGGTGTATGTGTGGTCTGTGTGTGGTGTATCTGGGTGTATCACTGAGTCTGAGGGGAGGTGCATGCTGCTTCCGCTCTCCCTCCCTGTCCCCTTGGAGTTATCAATGGCCTGGAGCTGTCTCCCTGGGTGTGTGCACCACGTGCGTGCAGTTGGAGGAGCCAGTGGGATCTTAGCAGAGGCAGAGATAGTGTCCATGGAGCCGACGGAGGCTTGGCACAGAATGGGGACTGAGCAGAACTGCCAGCCATACAGCAGCCTCTGTGCAGATGAGACAAAGGCACCCCCCACCTAGTCCAATCAACTCTCCCAGGTCTGTGGTTTGGCAGGCAGATGGCACCCTTGTGTGCATTTGAAAAGGGCACTCCTTACCCCAGATGGATGCAGCCCCACTGGCACACGCCTTGGGGAGGAGAACCCAGCAAGATTTCAGCCTCTCAGCCAGACCCGCCTTGTGCAGTACACAACCTGCCCAGCCCTACATGGCAGCCCTCAGTAAATGAAAGAATCCACAGAGCTGCATGCCTGTGCCACTTCTGGAAGGGATGTCTCTCTTTGTGGGGAACAAAGGCATCCATGCTGTACAGGTCACAGTGCTCAAAGACCTGAGTTCAAAGCCAGGCCCCAACTATTTGGGCACCTTGGGACTCAAGCAAATGATGGGACCTCTTGGAACCTCAGTGTCCTCATCTGAAATGAATGTGTCAATACACATATATGTGGCCAGCAGAGAATTGGGAGCATGTCTGGGGCTGGTGTTACCACTAGGCTGCTGAAATGACATGCGAGGGACACCTTGAAGGCAGGCCAGACCAGGATTGGTGGGAAGGAAGGGGCTCCCAGATGAAGGGAACAGCAGGTGCACAGGCAGGAAGGCCAGAGCATCTTGAGCATGAACTTGGAAGGTATGAAGGAAAAAGGAAAGGATGAGAAGAGGAGCTCCCGGCAGAACTGGAGTTTTATTCCAGCTGGGACAGGGAACCAGAGTGTCTATAGGGGAGTGGTTGATACCATCTAACCTGTTTCCTTTTTTTTTTTTTTTTGAGATGGAGTCTCACTTTGTCGCCAGGCTGGAGTGCAGTGGCACGCTCTCGGCTCACTGCAACTTCCGCCTCCCAGGTTCAAGAGATTCTCCTGCCTCAGCCTCCCAAGTAGCTGGAATGACAGGTGCCCGCCACCATGCACAGCTAATTTTTGTATTTTTAGTAGAGATGGGGTTTCACCGTGTTGGCCAGGCTGGTTGCAAACTCCTGACCTCAAGTGATCCACCTGCCTCAGCCTCCCAAAGTGCTGGGATTACAGGCGTGAGCCACTGCACAGTCCCTGTTTCCTGTATAACTGTTTCAGCGGCATTAGCACATTCATGAGGTTGTGCAGCCATCGCCGCTATCTAGTTCCAGGGCATCTTCCTCACCACACAGGGAAGCCTGGCACCAATTAGTGGTCACTCCCCATCCCCCTGTCCCCAGCTCTGTGCAATTATTAATCGGCTTTCTGTGTCTATGGATTTGACTATTGTGACATTTCATATTAGTGAAATCATACGCTACACGAGCTTTGTGGATGGCCTTTTCCGCTGAACGTAATGTCTTCAAGGTTTGTGCACGTCGTGGCTTGTATCTCAGCCCTTCTCCCTTTTCATGGTTGAGTAATATTCCACTGCATGGGTAGGCCAAAGTTGGTTTGTCCATTCCTCCACTGCTGTGTGCTTGCATTGTCTCCAGTGTTTGGCTGTTGTGCAAGGTGCTGCTATGAACATTCAAAGTTAAGTTTTGTGTGGACACATGTTTTGAACTCCTTGGGGTAGGCTCTGTGTAGCGGAAGTGCATGGTAATTCTGGTTAACTTTTTAAGGAACTGCCAAACTCTCTTCCACAGTGTGGGCCAAGCCACTTCTAAGACTCCCATTAAACACCCAAGTGGAAGTGTCCAGGGGGCAGTGGGGTATTCTAGCACAGAGTCAGGGGAGGGTCCAAGCTGGAGCTGAAAACGAAAGTTGAGGACCCACAAGGAAGGAGATGGAGCTAACTGGGGCTCCAGGAGGCTCACCTTCCAACCCCTGCCCATCCCCACCACCAGCAATGTTGTTGACAGTGGTGGGGTCTCTAGACACACAGGCGATGGGAAGAGACATATAAAAGAAAATAGCACCAACTGATATTTATTGACTAATCCCATCCACCCCCATCCCTTTATGCTGCTCTCATTTTTCATGGCTTCATCATTCCTTCATATTTCTTCACAATGGGCATCATCATCCCTCCAGGTCCCATTCATTGTGTCCATCAGCTGACTGTATCCCCTTACTAGCCTGTAAACCCCGTAGAGGCAAGAACCCTGTGGGCTTATTCACTGCTGCATCCTCAGGCCAGGGAGGCTGCTCAGGAGACATTTATTGAATGAAGGTTTGCAGAACAAATGCACGTCCGCACACCATGCAGGCTCCTGGGAAGCTCCGTGGCAGCCTCTTGGCTGCACTCTCAGGGCAGGGCTGTTAAGATCAGGGTCTTGCAGAGAGGAAACGTGAGACTCCATGGGCAGTCACCCCAAACCGCCGGGTTGTTCCGCCTGCAGGTGGAGCTCAGATCTCTCCTCCTCCTGGAACTGAGGCCAGGCATCTTCCCCACCCTCATTATCCCTCCAGGTCCACGGGGGGAGGAGAGTGGTCTAGGACTTGGCTGGACTGTTGCCATAGAAACAGCTGGAAGACCAGCCCCACCTGGCCCCTCACTCCCACCTCACTGCTCCATCACCTTTTCTTTCTTTTTTGAGACAAGATCTCACTCTATCATCCAGGCTGGAGTGCGGTGGTGCAATCACAGCTCCCTGTAGTCTTGCTCTCTGGGGCTCAAGTGATCCTCCCACCTCAGCCTCCTGAGTATGTGGGACTATTGGTGTGCACGAGCACACCTGGCTAATTTTTGTATATATATATTTTTTGTAATGACAGGGTTTTGCTGTGTTGTCCAAGCTGATCTCTTGCTTGAGCAATCTGCCCACCTTGGCCTCCCAAAGTGCTGGGATTTACAGGTGTGAACCACTGCACCCGGACGACCCTTTCCCATCCTGTATCTTCCCTCTGCAATAGCAGCAGCAGCAAACGCTTTCATATTTCACCTGCACTACGCCAGGCACTGTTCTAAGCTCTTTCCACGTCTTCACTCAGTTCATCCTCCTGACCACTCAGAGATAACCATCCTCATCACCAATTTACAGATCGGGGAACTGGGGCACGGGGAGCTTAGATAAGGGCTGGTCAATGTGAGGCAGCTGGCAGGAGGTCCAGCAGGGAGATAAACCACCATGCTGTGGTTGTGGTTCAGCTGTGGACAGAGACACTTCAAACCCAACACTGTAAGAGTGGTGTGTGAGTGTGTGTGTGTGTGAGAGAGAGAGAGACAGAGAGAGAGAAAGAGAGAGAGATGCAGAGAGACTAGAGATCCCTTGATTATCAGACATGAATAAAGGAAAGAGATTGGCATTTGGGGGCACTGAGGACCATATGGTCTAAGTCAGTGTTTCTCCACCGGGGCAGCTGCGGCTTCCTCCCACCAGGGGTACATTTGGCAATGCCTGGAAGCATCTTACATTGTCACAGCTGGGGGGAATCCTGGCATCGAGAGGGCGCTGCTAAACATTCTCCAGTGAGACAGGCTCTCACCACAAAGCAGGATCAGTCCCCGATGTCAGTGCTGAAAAACCGTGCACTGCCTCTTCCTACTTGCTTGGTCTATAAACTCAAATGCTCAACTTCTCTCTCTCCCTCTCCCTCCCTCTCCTCCCCCTCCTCCTCTTCCCCTTCTTTTCTCCCTCCTTCCCCGGCTCCCCGACTCCTCCTTTCCCACCCACCCCTCATCTGTCTCCCTTCCTTCCCTCCCCGGCCCCCACTCCCCTCCCCTCCCTCCCCTCCCCGCGCTCCCCTCCCCGCGCTCCCTCGGCTGCCTCCCCTGCCCTCTCCGCTGCTCGCCCCCGTTTCTCCTCCTTACCTCGCGCCTCGCCTCGCTTCCTGTCCTCTTGTCTGCACACCCCTCTGGTGTCTGTCGACCCTCCCAATCTCTTCTCCCCATTCATCTCTCGCCCGATCCCGTTTCTCTCCCCCGGCCGTGCCCTGGCGCGTTTCCATTGCTCTCGCATCGCCGCCCACCGCGCGTGGGGCGGCCAACTTGGGCCCACGCAGCTCGGCTCCCTCCGCCCTTCCTGCCTCCCGGCGCCTGTTGCTCCGCACCTCTGCCGCCCCCCGCCCGCCCTCCCAGCCTCCTGCCGACCCATCTCCACGTTTCTCACCGTCTGACCGTCTCTCTCCCGCCCAGCGCTCCAACCTCTGCTCTCGTTTTCCCCGCAGCCTGGCGGCCCGGTGCGACCCCCTGCACGCCCCATGCCGGCCCTCCTGCTCCTCGTACTCCTGGCCTCTAGCGCCGGCCAGGCCGGGGCGCGCCCGTCCAACGCCACGAGCGCCGAGCCCCCGGGCCCGCTGCCCGCCCTGCTGGCGCACCTGCGGCGCCTGACCGGGGCGCTGACTGGCGGCGGGGGCGCGGCGAGCCCGGGCGCCAACGGCACCAGGACCGGCTCCGCGGGCGGGGCGGGCGCGGCGGCCCGGGCGCCCCCTCCCGCTGAGCTCTGCCACGGCTACTACGATGTCATGGGCCAGTACGACGCCACGTTCAACTGCAGCACCGGCTCCTACCGCTTCTGCTGCGGCACCTGCCACTACCGCTTCTGCTGCGAGCACCGCCACATGCGCCTCGCGCAGGCCTCCTGCTCCAACTACGACACACCGCGCTGGGCCACCACGCCGCCGCCGCTAGCCGGGGGCGCCGGGGGGGCTGGGGGTGCGGGCGGGGGACCAGGCCCCGGCCAGGCCGGGTGGCTGGAAGGGGGCCGGGCGGGGGGGGCCGGAGGCCGCGGGGGCGAGGGCCCCGGGGGCAGCACAGCCTACGTCGTGTGCGGGGTCATCAGCTTCGCCCTGGCCGTGGGCGTCGGCGCCAAAGTGGCCTTCAGCAAGGCGTCCCGGGCCCCGCGGGCGCACCGGGAGATCAACGTGCCCAGGTGCGTGTGCTTTCCGCCGACAGATTGGGAGCCTGGGGCGGGGCCCGGCGAGGGAGGTGGGGCCATCCGAGGAGGCGGGGCTGCAGGGATGGGGCGTGGTCAGAGACCCCAGTGGCGGCTGTCGGCGGAGCTGGAGGTGGACAGGGGCTGAGAAAGTCGCGCCAGAGCCGATTTGGCTATTGCAGAGTGATGCAGGGAGGGGGAGAAGCTCAGGCTCTCATTCATTCAACACATATTTCTTGAGCATCTTCTGTGGGCCAGGAGCTGGGGATAGAGCAGTGAACAAAACAAGGTCTCTGCCCTGGTAGAGAAGGCTGACTTCCAAATCCAAGTTCACGGCCTCCAGGCTGTGTGACTGTGGACAGGTTGCTTAACCTCTCTGTGCCTCAGTTTCCTGTCCGCGCAATGAGACTAATCATCGTCCCCACCTATTCGGATTGTGATTAACTGAGTTGATTCATGTAGAGTCCTGGCAAACCGTAAGTGCTCATTAAATGTCAGTGGCCAAGTCCGTAAGCAGGCGAGTCCGTAAGTCAGTGGAGCAGAGACCCGAAGGGAGGGAGCGAGCCACGCAGAGATCTGTGGGCGAGAGGTTTTGGGCAGGGGAAACGGCAGACAAAAGCCCTCGGTGGCCTGCAGGGCAGGGCAGCGCTCGTGCAGCAGGAGGCAAGGAGAAGCAGGCAGGCCTGGGGTGACTCTAAGTGTGGTGGGGCCACTGCAGGGTCTGAGCTCGGGCTGTGCGTGAGACTGGATTGTACGGGGTTAGGGTGGAAGCGGGGAGACCCGGAAGGGGCTGTTGCCATGATCCAGGTGAGAGATTGCAGAGGTGGTGGTCCGATTGGGTATGCATTTTGGAGATTCGATCGTAGAATTGCTGAAAGGTATGAAGGGAGAAAAAAAAAGGAATCAAGATGATTTAAGATTTGAGGTCCGCATCACTGGGTAAATGGAGCACCCTTTGTTGCCATGGAGAAGGCTGCAAAAGGAACGGGAATGGGGTCCCAGATTCAGGGTGGGGCGAGCCCACAGGGAAGTGAGAGGGACCACAGAAGCGGTGGGGTCCACGCGAGTTAAGGCAGCACGCCTCGAGCAGGAAGTGTGGCCCGAGAAAGCGGGATATTGGAGGGGGCGTGGCCAATGAGAAAGGGGCGTGGCCAGTGGCGGAAAGCAGGTTGATTGACAGATGCCCCAAGGGCGAGAACAGGGAGTTGAAAGAAGCCTGGGTCCTCCTTGTGTCCCCTGCCAGCCCCCAGACCCCAGGCCACTGACCACCTCTCTGCCACCTTTAGAGCTCTGGTGGACATTCTGAGGCATCAGGCGGGGCCTGGGACCCGTCCGGACCGGGCCCGAAGCAGCTCCCTGACCCCTGGGATCGGTGGCCCCGACAGCATGCCCCCCAGGACGCCCAAGAACCTCTACAACACCGTGAAGACCCCCAACCTCGGTGAGTGGGACGTGGGATACAGCGCAGACTCCATCTCTGGCCACGCCCCCTCGTGCTGTAGCCCCGCCCTCCATGGCAGCTCCACCCCCATCTCCCAGACCCCATCCCCGCTCTTCTACGTCACCCTTGCACAGTAGGGTCCTGCCCTGCGCAATGCGGAAGGGGCACAATCCGTAGAGAGCCAGACCTCCCCCTCCCCTCCTGTGAACCCCCCTGGGTGGGCTCCATGGACACCTTGGTGATGTAGGTTTAGACATTCTCAAGCCCCTGCGCTCAGTGTCAGACCACCCAACAGCCAACTACACACAAGGACACAACTACCAAACTCTAATTTGTCAGGACCCAGACTGACTGGGTTTGAATTCTGGTTCTGCCACTGTGTGACCTGGAGCAAGCGACTTCATCTCTTTGGGCTTCAGTTTCTGCATCCGTAAAATGAGAAACATAGCAGTACTCACTTCATGGGGTTATGGTGAAGAGCAAATGAATTGATGAAGCAGATATTTAGAATAATGTGCAACACAGAAAAAAATGCTAAGCATTCTGCTGAGCAGTCTAGGGAGAAAGAAAGAAAAAAAAATGCTAAGTAAGTGTGAGCTATTGCTATTGTTTAATATACATATACTTAAAATATGACATATATCATATTTAATATTATTAAATATGATATAGATCATTATATTATAATTTATGATGCGTGCATCAGTGGAGAAGTCCAGGGAGCTGTCAGGGGGACTGAGAAGATCTGGTCTGGTTTGGGGGCAGGAGGGCGTCTCTGAGGGAGAGGTGTTTGAGCAAAGGCCTGGAGGAGGAGCGGAATTACTGGGGCTGGGAAGCTCTGGGTGGCAGAGCTTGTGAGGTGGCCAGACTTGAGGCCAGGGAGAGGGTGTCTGGTGACCTCAAAGAGGGCCCTCGAGTGCCAGGCTGGGCTGAGGAGCTCTGCCTCTGTCCTGATGGCGATGGAGAACCACTGAGGAGCTATAGCAGGGGAGCAACACAGTCAGCAGTGGATGGAAGAACCCATCCTCTGGAACCCATGTGAAGGGGAGAGATGAGAGGAAAGAGGCCCCGGAGGAGGCTGGGATGATGGTCCAGGCAGCAAGAGGACGGGGACGGAGCTGGGGTCAGGGATGGAGAGGAGAAGAGACATTGGAGCTGGATCTTGAGGCAGACAGGAAGAAGGGCTTCAAGGCAGAGAGAACAGCATGGTGGCGCGTGCAAAGGGCCTGTGGCAGTACCACACTGAGATCACTGGAGACAGCAGTGTGGCTTGAGGGAAGGGCTGGGAGATGGGGCTGCAGACATCCGGTGGGTCCAGGTTTTGACGCCTCAAACACTGTTCCTGCGTTCGACTTTGTCCCGTGACGGTGATCCATGGGAAGGCTGTTGAGCAGTGGAGGGGCAGTTACTTCGGTGAGGCTGATCATGGAGATGGGTGGGTGGGATGACCAGAGGCTGCTTTAGCGATCCAGGAGGGAGAAGACATATTAGGGCAGAGATTCAGGTGTCGGGAGGAACCAAGTGGACATGAGTGGGAGGTGGAAGGAGGTAGCAAGGAGAACCCCCAGATTTCTAGCCTGGGCACGGGGCGGGGGGGGAATGGTAGGAACTTGGGACAGACCACTAACCCAGCCCTGAGCTTGTGCCCACACTTTCCACCTTCAAGTCCCCCAGCCTCAGTTTCCCCCATGTGGCCAATGGCATGGGTTGATCTGTGAAGCTCTAACAAGGACCTGCATGTGGGGCCGACCTTGAGGCCAGAGTCCTTCCCAGAGATCAGGGCCGCGGTGCCAGCTGGGAGTCAGCGACGGCAGTGACATCACCTCCCTTCTCGGTCCCCCCAGATAATCTGCACCACAACTACCTGCACCTCAACGTCAACAGCCCCAAGCACCACGCCGCCACACTGGGTACGGAAGAGGGCCTGGCTGCGGGGAGGAGCACGGCTCCTCCCTTCCCCCTCTGTGTTGGGCCAGCCATGCCAGGTGCCCAGTATAGAGCAGGGGCAAGGCCCCTGTGAGCCCAGTCCTCATGGCGCTCATGGTCTGGCCAGGTCACCAAGTGAGCCTCAGTTTCCTCGTGTGGACGCCGAAAGTGGTCATCTCTCTCCCACATGGTTGAGGGGAAGGTGCATGGAGCCTGGGGCCAGGCACTCAGTGGGTGCTGACGAATGCCCAGTGCCCCCCTCTTGGGGTCCTCTTCCCCAGCATCAAGCCTGTCTCCTGGGGCAGAGGGGGTGGGGTGAGAAAAGGGAGCCGAAACTGCTGGAATTCTTATGGGCTACATTCTCAGATTTCTAACTCCCCAAATAACTGCTGGGTCTGAGGGAGGGGCTGAGGGCTTGGACTCCTGGGTCTGAGGGGAGGGCTGAGCCTGGATCTTGGGTCTGAGGGTGGAGGTGCTGGGGGCCTGGACTTCTGGGTCTGAGGGAGGAGGGGTTGGGGTCTGGACTCCTGGGTCTGAGGGAGGAGGGAGCTGGGGCCTATACTCCTGGGTCTGAGGTAGGAGGGGCTGGGGTCTGGACTCCTGGGTCTGAGGGAGGAGGGGCTGGGGCCTGAACTCCTGGGTCTGGGGGAGGAGGGGCTGGATGCCTATATTTCTGGGTCTGAGGGAGGAGGGGTTGGGGGCCTGGACTCCTGGGTCTGAGGGAGGAAGGGGCTGGCTGTGGTCTGGACTCCTGGGTCTGAGGGAGGAGGGGCTGGATGCCTATATTCCTGGGTCTCAGGGAAGAGGGGTTGGGGGTCTGGACTCCTGGGTCTGAGGGAGGAAGGGGCTGGCTGTGGTCTGGACTCCTGGGTCTGAGGTAGGTGGGGCCTGGGGGCCTGGACTCCTGGGTCTGAGGGAAGAGGAGCTGAGGGCTGGATTCCTGGGTCTGAAGGTGGAGGGGCTGGGACCTGGACTCCTGGGCCTGAAGGAAGAGGGGCTGGGGTTCTGGACTCCTGGGTCTGAGGGAGGAGGGGTTGGGGGTCTGGATCCCTGGGTCTGAGGGAGGAGGGACTGGGGTCCCTGGACTCCTGGGTCTGAGGGAGGGGGGGCTAGGGTCTAGACTCCTGGATCTGAGGGAGGAGTCTGACTGACCCTGGCCCTGCCCCCTCTACCCAGACTGGCGAGCCTTGCCGCCGCCCAGCCCCTCCTTGCACTACTCCACGCTGTCCTGCTCTCGGTCCTTCCACAACCTCTCGCATCTGCCCCCGTCCTACGAGGCTGCCGTGAAGTCTGAGCTGAATCGCTACTCCTCCCTCAAGAGGCTGGGTGAGTCCTAGCAGGGGCAGCGGGGCGCTGAAAGGAAGCGGGCGGGGCCCGAGCCTGGGTTCAGGACCATGGACAGTAGCCCAAGCGCCTTCCCGTGGTTTAGATTCTCTCTCAGGTTTTACTCCCAGTTTGTTGCAGAGTTACCTGAGGTACTTTTGTATCAGAATCATTCTGGTTTGCATTTTTAAAATGCAACCTTCTGGTCTCCCCTCCCAGGACTTATTGTTGTATTCATCAGAACTTGGACTTGCAATTAATAGAAATACAACTTAGGCTAAAGGAAAAATATTCATTGACTTGATAACGGAAAGTTTGCAGGTCACCAAATTGGGATGTGGCTGTTTCGGGGGTTCAAGAGCTGTCTCTCAGCAATTTAGGCGACCGGCGGGCCTCATTTTCAGATAGTCTCCCCTCGTGGTGGCAACGATCACCCTGCAGATGTTCAGGCTGCCGTTCTACCAGCTCAGGCGCCCTGGTAGGAAAGAGTCTCTCCCAACAATTCCAGCAAAAATCCCGGGCCTGGATGCCATTGGTCTAAGTTGGGTCACATGGCCATCCCTGAACCAGTTCCTGTGAATCTGATTGGACATTTTCCAGTCTGTGGCCCACCTCTGGCAGTGGAGCCCCCTTCAAACATCTTAAAGTGAGAGTGTCACTAGGAAACAGTTTTTCTTCTTTATTATTATTACTTTTTCAAGACGGGGTCTCACTCTGTTACTCAGGCTGGGATGCAGTGGCACTATCATAGCTCACTGCAACCTCTACCTCCCCAGGTTCAAGCGTGATCCTCCCACATCAGCTTCCTGAGTACCTGGGACTAAGAGCTCATGCTGCCATGCCTGACTAATTTTTGTATTTTTTGTAGAGACAGGGTTTCACTGTGTTGCCCAGGCTGGTCTCGAACTCCTGGGCTCAAGCATGCCACCCACCTCATCCTCTCAAAGTGCTGAGATTATACGCATGAGCCACCATAACCAGCCAGAAATGATTTTCCTCCTCCTCCTCCTCTTCCTCTTCTTCCTCTCTCCTCTTCTCCCCCTCCTCCTCCTCCTTCTCCTCCTCCTCCTCCTCCTTCTTCTTCTTCTTCTTTCCCTCCTTCTCCTTCTCCTTCTTCCTTTTTTGAGACAGAGTTTCACTCTGTTGCCCAAGCTGGAGTGCAAACACCATCTCAGCTCACTGCAACCTCTACCTCCTGGATTCAAGTGATTCTCTTGCCTCAGTCTCTGGAGTAGCTGGGATTGCAGGGATATGCCATCATGCCCAGCTAATTTTTGTATTTTTAGTAGAGATAGGGTTTATCCATGTTGGTCAGGCTGGTCTTGAAGTCCTGACCTCAGATGATCCACCCACCTTGGCCTCCCAAAATGTTGGGATTACAGGTGTGAACCACCACGCCCAGCCCAGCAATGATTTTCATATTATGACCCATGAGACACACACACACACATATATACATACACACATATATTTTTAATTACAGGAAAGCGTTGAAACTTTTTATTATGGTCATTTGCAAACATGCATGCAAGTAGAGGAAATTATAAAATGAGCCCCATGTTCCCATCACTCAGTCTTAATAATTAGCCACATTTTGTTACTCTGTACTCCACCCCACCTTTTGGTGGATTTTTTTTTTTTTTAAGAGACAAGGTCAGCTGGGCACGGCTCACACCTGTAATCCCAGCACTCTGGGAGCCGAGGTGGATGGATCACTTGATGTCAGGAGTTCAAGACCAGCCTGACACATAGTAAAACCCCGTCTCTACTAAAAATACAAAATTAGCCAGTCATGGTGGTGCATGCCTGGTAATCCCAGCTACTTAGGAAGCTGAGGCATGAGAATTGCTTGAACCTAGGAGGTGGAGTTTGCAGTGAGCCGAGATTGTGCCACTGCACTCCAGGCGAGAAATTTCACAAGAGTGAAACTCAGTCTAAAAAAAGAAAGAAAGAAAAAGAGACAAAGTCTCACTCTGTCACCCAGGCTGGAGTGCAGTGGTGCAGTCATGGCTCACTACAGGCTCAACTTCCTGGACTCATGCAATCCTCTCACATCAGCCTCCTGAGTAACTGGGACTACAGGCATGCACCACCATGCTTGGCTAATTTTTAATTTTTTTGTAGAAATGGGGTCTCACTATATTGCCCAGATTGGTCTTAAACTCCTGGGCTCAAGCGACCCTCCTGTTCAGTCTCCCAAAGTGCTGGGATTACAGGAGCCAGCCACCTTGCCTGGCCTTGGTGGATTCTTTTAAACTAAATCTCACTCATGATTTGATATTTCAGTCACACACACACACACACACACACACACACATCTGAAGTCAGAATTTTATGAACCAGCACTTACCCCAGTTCCCTTAGTATATAAACACTTTCTGATAATTTTGTCTTCTACTTGATTTCATTTTTCTAAACACTGCTCACTACCTGCAAAACCAACATCACAATGCAACAGGTCACAACTCCAAATGTGAATAACATTGCTACAGGATGAAAGCGAGGGGGTCAGTGGTTCCTTAAAAGCAAGAGTTGGGTTCTACTCCAAAAAGAAGGTTTAGGCAGAGGCAGGGGGAAAAAAAATCTACTGACCCAGCATTGTGGGCTGGGCCTGGGAATCTGCATTTTGGCCACACAGCTAGCCTGATGCCAGGGGTCCCTGTGGGGGCGACAGCTGCATGGGAGCGGGATGTGAGGAGGCGGGAGAGGAGGGCTCTGGATGCGCAGGACCCACCGCTGTGGCTCTTTCCCCCCTACCCGCAGCCGAGAAGGATCTGGACGAGGCCTACCTCAAGCGCCGGCCCCTGGAGTTGCCCCGCGGCACGCTGCCTTTGCACGCGCTGCGGCGGCCGGGCACCGGGGGCGGCTACCGCATGGATGCCTGGGGCGGCCCCGACGAGCTGGGCCTGGCGCCTGCGCCCAACCCACGGCGGGTCATGTCCCAGGAGCACCTGCTGGGCGACGCTGGCCGCTCCCGCTACGAGTTCACGCTGCCGCGCGCGCGCCTCGTGTCGCAGGAGCACCTGCTGCTGTCTTCACCCGAGGCCCTGCGCCAGAGCCGAGAGCACCTGCTGTCGCCCCCGCGCAGCCCCGCGCTGCCCCCAGACCCCACCGCTCGGGCCAGCCTGGCCGCCTCGCACTCCAACCTGCTGCTGGGGCCTGGGGGCCCCCCAACGCCCCTGCGTGGGCTGCCGCCACCGTCCAGCCTGCACGCCCACCACCACCACGCCCTGCACGGCTCGCCGCAGCCCGCCTGGATGTCCGATGCCGGCGGGGGCGGGGGCACGCTGGCCCGCAGGCCGCCCTTCCAGCGCCAGGGCACGCTGGAGCAGCTGCAGTTCATTCCGGGCCACCACCTGCCGCAGCACCTGCGCACTGCCAGCAAGAACGAGGTGACTGTCTGAGGCCAGGGCCGGGGCTGGGGGGCTGCGGCTTCCCGGGCCCCTGTCCCAGCCTGGATCCCCCGACACAGGCGCACACACGCCAGGGGCCTGGGGCCCAGAAAGGTCCTTGGACAGGAGTCAAAGCCTCCTTCCAGGATGACCTGGCAGACAAGATTCCTCCTCCTATTACGTCACTGCTTGAGCCAAGGCCTCCTTCCCATGATGTCATCCCAGAGGAAGAGGCTGGCCCATGAGGTCATTGCTAGCAAAAATGTCTGTGTCCTGTGATGTCATCACAGGGACAAAGCCTCCTTCCCATGAGGTCATCACAGAGGAAGAGGCCGGCCTTGAGGTCATCGCTGGAGGCCATGTCCGTGTTCTATGATGTCCTCAGAGGCCTCCTTCTTGTGGTGTAGTAACAGAGACGACGCCTTGTCCCATGACATTCGTTCCTGTGATTTCACTGCAGAGACAATCTCACCTGAATGATGCCATCTTCTAACTCCAAGGCCTCTTGGCATCATCGCCATGGGGAAGAAATTTTCTCCCTGTGTCTTTGCAGCAGAGAAGATGCCTCTGTCCTATGATGTCATCATTACAGACAAAACCATCTTCCTGGGACACGCCACAGGGGAAAATGCCTCACTAATTGTGTACTCACTAGACATAAGGCCTCCTTTTCACAACATCGTCACAGGGACCCTGCCTCCTTCCTGTGATGCCATCACCAGAGAAGGTGCCTTGCCCTATGACGTCATCAGAGGGACCGTGCCTCTTCCCGTGATGTCATCACCAGAGATGACAACTCACTCTGGGACCTCTCCAGGAGGAGGTCCCTTCTGCGATGTCACCCAGATGCTACGTGCTCTGAGACGGGACAAGGAGATGCCTCCACTGCTCCCACCATGTAGAAGGCAAGGCAGGCCCAGAGTCCAGGACCACCCCAGGGAAGATGTCAGAGAGCAGAGAGGGGCCCTGTCCAAGGATGTTGTCTGAGGGAAGCACCGCTGCGGAGCCGCCCACGTGGAGGGCGTCCTCCAGAGATGATGGTCTGTGTAGGCTGTTGGCAGTGATCCCCCTGCCCCCAGGGCTGTGATGGCATCACCTGAGCTCCCTCCTCAGAGGCACTGCCCACTCTGGAAGGCCGTCGGTATTGATGGTATCACCAGAGTTACTGCCTTGACCCACCATGACTTAGCTTGGTCGCTCCCTCCCCAGACCCCAGGGACATACACAGGAGGATCTCTGCCAGACCCGCTGAGGGCAAATGGGGCTTGGATCCCATGCCTGTGCAGTGACTCCTGGGAAACAGAACCTGCAGGTGGCCTTCTGCTCCCAGGAAGCCACTCTGGATCACCAGGATCCTGGAGTCCTGGCACTCATAGGTGTCCCTTAGCCTGGCCTCACTCTTCTTTCTGCCATATCTACAGACAATCACTCTGGCAACAAAGTCCTAGCCTTCTATTGGGGGGAGGTGTTTGCAGTGCACCTATTCTTGCCCTCGCTGACATTGTCAGCACCACACAACACCCGCTGCTCATGATGGCACTGCACCTGGGGTCAAGTGTTACCCATGCCTGAGGATGGAATCCTTTCCTAGGATTCCCTACGACCCACAGCTATGGTATCATCCCCTTCCAGAATTTACCATAACTAATGGTATCGTCACCTCCCAAGACTCCCCATAGCCAATGGTGTCACCATCCTCCATGATTCCCCACAATCATGGTGTCATCAACTTTCAGGATCCACCACAGCTGATGGTGCCATCATCTCCTAGATCCCACCATGACCAATGATGACATTACCTTCCAGAATCCACTATGCCTGACAGAGACATTCTCTACTGAAATCCACTAGGACTGACGATGCTACCATTTCCCATAATCCCTCATGTTGTGGTGTCATCACCTCCCATGATGGAACCATGGTATCATCTCCTCCCAGGATCCACTCAACCATGGTGTCAGCATATCCCAGAATTCATAACACCTAATAGTGTCATGATTATCTACAAAGACTCATGAGAGCCATGTGTCATCACCTGCCAGATCTGCTTTAACCATGTGTCTTCATGTCCCAGGAGTTACCGTAGCTATTGTGTTATCAATTATCAGGATCCACTCCAACCAACCTCCCAAGACCCATGATGCCCAATAGTGTCATCATCATTTGCAAGGATCCATGGGAGCCATGGTGTCATCATCTCCGGGAATCCACTTCAGCCATGTGCCACCACCTCCCAGGATCCACTTCACCTGCGGTGTTATCACCTCCCAAGATCCATGAGAGCCAATGGTGTCATCTCCTAGGATCCACTTCAACCATGGTGTCTTCATCTCCTGGGATCCATGAGATCCAATGCTGTCACCACCCACTAGGATCTCCCATAACCCTGGTGTCTTCATCTCCTGTGATCCAATGAGGTCCAATGCTGTCACCACCCATTAGGATTGGTGTCTTCATCTCCCAGGATCCATGGGATCCAATGCTGTCACCAC